TAAAGCCTCAAGGTGTCTTCATGTACCATTTTGCTTTCCATTTTTACAAAAAAACCCAAACCATTTATCAAATGCTGTTCTGCTGAGTTTATTTCTGACAATTCATTATAAATTTGCCAGAATGGAAGATTGCTGAAATCTGTGTCATGAGCAGAATATAAATAAATCTGCCTTTTAAATTAACTGTTTAATTTAAATAGTATCAAAATGATACTCTTCCATTCAGAGGTGGGTTGCTCCCAGTTTGGTCCGGTTCGGCCAAACTGGTAGTGGCAGCAGCGGGAGGCCCACCCACCTAGATGCTTCTGGGCATGCACAGAAGCATCATGCGTACATGAGAGCACACACGTGCATGAGCAAAACGGTAGTAAAACCAGTACAAACCCACCACTTCTGCCATTCCTTCAGGAGCTCAACACGGAATACAAAATGGTCTCTCACTCAATTCCACTCCCCCAAATGAAACTGTGAAATAAATCAAACTGTAAGAAAGTGACTGATCCCAAGTCATTTGGTAACTTTGTGTGGCAGAAGATGATCCTGAATCTGGGAAATCTTGATCCTCGGTCAACATTTTATCATAGTACCATGCCTTGATACCATAGTACCATGAACTGGGAAATGAGGCAGCAGTACTTGCCTTCTGGGGTGACAGAAATTCCACTATTTTTTTCCTCCAAACTGAACACTGCATTTTCAAAAAGTTGATGGCAGTCTGGAAGCTTTATGCTCTTTGGAAAAAACAAACAAACCTGTTGAGCAGCTTTTCTTTAGTAGGTAGCTAAGGAAGATAAGATGTCTGCCATAGGGAAAATTCTGAAAGGATCTTCTACTTTTCATTCATGCAAGGGGACCCAACCCTTCAGTGGTACACTGCTACTATTTCTCAGAATGGTTTCCACATTTTTGTAACCTTGAGATCATCTAATCAACTTGGCACATTGACTGAGGTATTATTGTCACTGAAGGCTGGGCCCACAGCATATTCTAGGTTAAAATGTTTTTGGGTAGAATTCGGCTTATGCAAATCCAGACAATCTGGGTTTAGTATTGTTGAATTAGCCATGACATGGTGTGTTGCATTGACACAGCTGATATATCTGGAAATATTGGAGAAAAGGCTTTTATTTCCACCAACAAAAGATTATGTGGACATTCAGTGCTTATGCTTTGTTGAATGTGTACATCTCTATTAGAGAGCTGCTACTTCTTCTCATTTAACTTTCTTCCTTCTCAGTGCTACTTTTTCACAGTGGAGTTTGGCTTATGCAAACAAGAAGGGCAACTGAGAGTCTATGGAGCTGGTTTGCTCTCTTCTATTAGTGAATTGAAGGTAAGCCCCCAAATCACCTTCAAAATACTGCCTTTAATTTAGTGTTAATAGTTTTACAATTGTACACTCAGGTGGAACTTTTATTTATTTCATTTGCTTTCACTGTTCTTCTGCTTTAGACTTTCACCTGAAGGGCTGTTGATGCCCCAAACAACTTTTAGGAAATCTGTCATTGGTTATCTTCTCAGTGAAGGATATGATATGGTGTTTGATTATTTGGTATCAAGTTAGTGTCAATTCTTTGTGACCACAACTCTGCTGAAATAGAGCCAGGGGTCACATTGGAGATGACTGGCTAAGCCTAAGGTGTGTGTCATCAGTTTGTAGTCCCTTTGTGTCCATCACAGATTTAAGTCCAGCCCTCTGTATTCCACTGACCCTAGTGCCAATTTGCCTTGACCATTAGTAGTTATGATTCTTGTAATGAGCTAGCATGGATTAAATTTGTACTCATTTGAACAGCCTTGGGTTCCTGATTTCTTGCACTAGACAGATTATTGAATACAATATTAATGAGTTTCAATGTTGTATGTTCTAGCATGGTATTTTACCCAATAAAATATTGTTTATTTAGAGCAAGTTTGGCAGAAGGAAGCTTGGCATTAACAAT